TTAATTGAGGCGCCTTAATTCATTCCAAAACAAAATTAGATAGGCATGATGAAAACCAATAATAAGTAAACTTAGAGCATACTGATTGGGTCATTGGTGCCGTTGTTGAAGAGTCCTATGCTAGGACGAAACAGCTGTTCAGTGCTCCCAGGTTTCCAATGTTCCTCTAACCGATGTCAGTCAGTGACGAATCCCAACCTAAAAGCAATTAATAAATCTTCACAAACCTCGAGATCGAATTAATCTAGCACTCATTGGTGACTAGCTTCAAGAGATGATTCCTGAAGTTCCAATGATATGTGGTGACCAATGGAATCAACCAAGTCGAGCATGAGGACAATTATTCAACGATGACATTGGATGGAGCTGGCGCTATATAGTGAACTGATAGAAATAGGAAATATGGATCACTGGATTCCGACCCAGTGGCTGAATGATACCGTGCTGGCCATGGAACCGAAGGTTCTGGGTTCGATCCCTGCTGGGGTAGGGTGATGGGTGCCCACTGCTGAGGAGTTCCATGCAGTGGGACGAAATATCTGTCTAGTGCCCCCAGGTTTTTAATGTTCCTCCAGCTGATGTCAGTCCATAATGAATTTCAGTTTCCATATAGAATTATTCTGAAAACAACTGATTAAATCTCATCAAAAACAGTGTACTTTATTATCATGGCTAGTAGTCATGCAAGAAACTCGGCTAGGATGTGAAACTTTAGAGTCTAACTGACCAACACCTTAGGGAATCTGTTGTGATCTGAATAGTTAGTCCCTGAGAGAATTTGGTCTGTACTATACCTTTGTGGTGATTGCTGATAAAGACGTAAACCATATCGAGTAGTGGTTGACTGTAGACATTCAACTATGAAACAGTAAGCAATGTCGTTGCAAGCTCTATGAACTCTTAGAACTTTCTAGCCACATAGATTACCTTTGGATGTTCTTTTTCCAATAATTACCAGAAATTTTAATAAATATTATTGATAATGTTTAACAAAGATAGTAGGGAATTGTTCAGGGTAGTAGAAAAGTTTTCTGTCAGAGTGTTAGCTTAGACATGGTCAACGAGTTGAGACAATATTAACCTATTGTAATTAGTAATGGATTTACGATATAGGGACTTTTCAAATGCATAAAATGAATAATGTTGCCAATGTTGTCTGTTGTCATGACAACTGACTTCAATGGAAAGTTGATGACACTAAACGTATAGCCTAACAGATGAACATATTTTGAACACTTCACTATTCTAAAACCGATTCATCGTAACATAACAAACTCAGTGTTTATCAAGAACACGAGGGTTCAATCGATATTTACGTTATATTGATTATTTCTTGTTGAAAAATTTGAAGATATGATGAAAATAACTGAGACTAAACTTGGAAAGATGACTCTGTATGGTTTAGGTGGTTGCAGTTAGTCAGTCAGGAGTCCTGTTTAATCAAGGTTTCTTGCCTGTCAACCCTTGTCATCAAGTTGTATCTGAAACCTCAAGGGAACTGGTGTTCTCGGTAAGATTCGACTTCGTATTACAGCCGGAGACGTTGTGACTGACCTCCTGTAAAAGTGGATTACGTGAAGTAGTCCTTAAGGTGATCAATTTTGATCGATCATCTTTTGATGTAGTCAACAAGCTGGACTACTCATGGTTGAACTGATGACAGCAATATACATTCAAAACCCTATAGTGCATGTTGGCAATATGGTGTCTAGGTTTTACTGAGATCCTATCCCTGCTGAAAAATGCACCACTTTAGAGAACCATTTGGTTATACAATGTATGCTTTCAAAAACAAAGGGAGTTTTTCTCTCACGAATAGAAAACGTCCCGTTTCACATTTTCAGTCATCTTTTCAATGAATTAAAGGTTGAACTGGACTGGATCACTTTTCATTCTGATGAAAATAAGAATGAGTAAGATTAAAGCGAGTGAAGCAGAATACTATAAAGTTTTGATTGTCAGTGTGTGCTGATTGCAAACAGACATTTGTAATGCGTGATCCAAAAACTCCACTGACTACGAAACAGATATTAACTTGTCAGTTTGTTCGCTTAGAAATAGGCTATTGCTAAAGCCAAGAATTTCGCATTTCATCCTTCGCTGGGACCAGTCAGCTGTATATAAGACCTAAATGTCAATTAGTGTCAATCTTCCTGAGTGAGACACTAAGTTAGGAAGGCTGCATCTTGCATAATGTCTATCAGGTATCTCTTGTTTCACTATCTCATTTCCTCTAATTTGTTTTACTTCATTGAATTGATCGTTAGCACTTTGAATGTTTGAATGAGAAATGAATTGTGCGTGGATTTCACCGCTACCTCATCATATCAATGGTCAAGAAAGATCTCTACTGGAATCAACTCGTTAAGAAAAGAATTTTTCAAAAGTTATTACTTTCAGATGGGTTCACATGGACTGGTGTTTGTGAAGCCCTGATGATGATGTCTGACAAGTCGTTGTAACACTAGTGAATTATTTCCTAGGTCACGGAACAATTCATTATCTATATCTACACTCTAAGCTACGAATATTCGTCGTAATATGGAATTAACTTAAAAATCAGATAGATTTTCAATCTCGTTTTCCAGAAAATCCTAAAAATATACGTTTAACTATTCTAATACAACTTTATCGGTAATCTTATTGCAAATACCTTTGTTAGGTCTAAAGTTCTGAGATATTTTGACTTCTGTAAATACTGCTGAGGACTCCCATACTAGGACGAAACAGCTGTCCAGTGCTTCCACATTTTCAATGGTTCCCCAACTGATATCAGTCCATGATGAATACTACTTCTCAATTTGAAAGTTTAATGAATCAGACAAACTTTAAAATCCACAACTTTGAACTGTTACCTTCATTATATGAACGTGAAAGCAAATAGAAGGAGATTACTGTTCAAAGAAAATAAAGCTCAGGTTGATGAACTTTTGAAGAACAATAAACTGTTGTTAGCTCGTCCCGATAAGGGCAGGGGTATAGTTCTTATGAATTCTGAAGACTATGTTAATAAACAGTCATCTATACTAGGAGATGAAAGTAAATCTTCGAAAGGAGCACTTCAGTAAGATACAAATGAACAAACAGAAGAGAAATAGGAAATTCGGACAATTAGATTTCGACCTAGTGGCCCTATAGTAACGTGTTGGTCAAGGAACCTGAAGGTACTGGGTTCGATCCCTGTGGTGATAGGGTTATGAGTGCACATTGCTGAGGAATCCTATACTAGGACGAAACAACTGTCCAGTGCTCCGAGAGTTCCAATGTTCCTCCAAATCATGATAAATTCCAACTTAAAACAGTATAATAGTTGATAAAAATCTTGAACAAGATGAAAGACGAATCATTCATCAGTACAGAGATGTTTGAAAAATTAAAACCATCCAGTTCATAGTAATTCCTCATCTCTTCACTCTTCTCAAAGTCTATAAGGAAGGTGTTCTTATTTGTTTAATTGTTGTTATGAATAATTCACTGAAATCCGTCAGCCTGTGAAGAATCACATAAATAGTTATAGTACACCTGACTCTTTCCACTTCAGTAACTGCATAAGAGATGTCGACATGTGTGGTTAGCGTATGTTATTACCAGACGTCCTTTTGACTGGAACAATTCAGTTTCTATGTGATTATATTAACATCAATAAGCTTGAAGTTGGGGTTCCTAAACATTATCTGAAAGAATTTCTTCTACGATATACCTTTAATATGCGATTTACATTCACTAATGACTGTTAGGCTCTCTCTTAGTTGATTGCTTCATCATCAATTTACAGAACAGTAAAGTACATGCATCGATCGATGACGCTTTCATCATCTATGAGGAGAAGAGTAACCTTCAAGAAATACTATGAAAGTTCAGTGAACGTCATAAGTCAATTCAGTTTACCATGGCAATTGTATGTAACTCAGAATTTCATTTTCTGGACGTTCTATTGAGAAGAAGACATGATAGTTCCTTCAGGAGATCGATTTACAGAAGAAAAAAAACTTGAAATAGTTAATTAACTAATTTTTAAAGTTACATTCTACTAGTCAAGAAAAGAGATCCAATTTATTCACTATTCATACAGATTAGAAGAGTTTGAAGTAAATGAGGAGCTGAGAGTACTTCGAAGAGTGTCCATCGAGAATGGTTATCCTTCAAGATTTATTGAGAGGAATATGAAGCCTAAGCATTTCCACGAAGAAACCTTTAAGATTCCAAAGAATATTGGATTAAGCGGGGACACACACTGGCAGAGATACTCAAGAATCAATTGTGCCAAGCACCGCTTAGGTTTGGATTGTTTTCTCTGGTTAACAATTGATTAGAAACTGTGCAAGGGATAAACATACAGTTTGAACCACCTTTTTCTAATTTACTTGCTCTTGTGGAGCTGGTTACATAGACCATACAGAGTATGGTCTATCCAAACATATCTCCGAACACTATCCTGCATGGCTGTCTAAAGGACAGAGTAAAGCCATCAACAGCTTGAGCATTTGGTTGACTCTACTAGTCCCTTGGCTCTACAAAAATCTATCAAAGTCATTTATAAAGTGAAGTCAAACATTTCGAAACATTTGAGTATTCTCCACTTCAAAATAACAGAAGTTTTGATAATCTAGTGGTTCAAGTCTGATCTTTACGTTCAATCTCTAATTTCGCTATGGTCATAACTTCCCTAAGACATTTTATTCATTTCTTTGTCTATTGTAATTCTATAAATACATTTTGATGACCTTGAGTTGACCCTGTAACTTTATTGACCGTTTTTAATGACCTTGTATTAATCCATTTACTATTGATGGATACGTACGTACTTTGTTGTAAGTTTGAGTACGATTGTAAAGCTTTTGAAAATGAAATCTTCACTCATCTGATTAGGCAGAAAATAAGAAACATCAAATTTGTTAATTTATGACAGATGAAACAAATCCTCATCAATCTCTGGTTCTCAGTATTCCATATCAAACATTTTAAAAAAAGGTTTATTTTAAACAGAAAAATTTACTTACTAGTGCCCATTAACTTGCCAAGCAATTGAATAGATGTAATATTCAAATTTTGACGTGTTCCACTAGATTAGTTTTCCACTTTTCTATATTTATCTTTCAAGAAATAATAATAATCCCTTGAAATATTGAACAGTATTTGTTTTAATCAACAAACAAATAACAGTACACTCTTCATTTATTTGTATTTATATATATATATGAACTGGATACAAAGTAAATCAATTCAATTGTGTTTATCTACAGTGTACAGTGTGCATACACTTTGATGAGTGATATAAATCCCAATGTAGAGTAATCATTTGAAATGAAAATAATTCTATGATCGCAGCGAGTAAAAATAATATTCACCTTGTAAGGTCTGGTGCTTTTTCTCTCATTTATAAACTTATTTATTTATTTGTACATACATACATGCATACATACGTACATACATAAATGCATGTTGAGTAATGTTATGTTTTGAAAATGAAAAAAAAAAAGCTATTCTGTAATAACCAATCAGAAAGCAGTTAACCACGCATACTGTGTTTACAGTTGAAATCTTAAAAAAATCATTTCAGTAGGTTTGTTAACATCATCAATAACATGAGATCCTTAATGGTTGGATCATATCTTTTTGGGATTTCATTAGATTTGTTTTGTTTGGATTGAGAGACATTGACAGTAAGATTTAACTCAAAAGGAAGGAAAGTCACAATCATACAACGCTACACGACGCTATGTACTTACAAATAATTAAGCAGATCAACAGAAGAAGGAGGAATTCTACAGACAACTGTAATCAGTACTGTACAACACCCCACTCCAGTTGGTGACATCAAAATTCATTCTAATTGGTGGGATAACATGAATGCTAAACTGGGAGTGGACAACACAGGAAGAGAACGAATTGTTGGTCGAGAAGCACTCTGTGAAATGATGAATGAGAATGGAGAACTGTTTGAAGACTTCTGCTCATTCAACGACTTGGTGATTGCAGGCGAGGCAGTATGTACAAACACAAGGATATTCACAAGGCAGTGGTATGGATTCGATTTCAACAGACACCAGAACAAACTAAAAATCCACTTCACATTGACTTCATCTCAATGTGAAGAAAGTGGAGACACAGTCAGCCTACTGGACACAAGATCAGATAGAGGAGGAGGAGGAGCAGATGTAGGTTCACAACACTCACTGTCTGGTGCAAGGAACCTTCAAAATCAAGTTGAAAACTTCAAAGAAGTTGGTGATGATAGACCGCAGTTGAAGTTGAACACCCACCCAGAACAGAGACTGAACTGAAGGACGAAACTATAAAGGAAATCTTCATGTCAGTCAATGGGAGATACTGAGCAACATCCCTGTGGAAACCTGCATGGAAGAACACTGGAACTCTTTGAAAGAGATGTGGAAGCTGATAGAGGCAGATGGTGAAATCAAACGTTAGGTAATCCCTTCTACAAATAAATGTACAACAAAGTTGAGCAAAACTCTAAAAGAAGGGGGACCTATGTCTTTGTAAAAGCAAGAAATGGCGTGGAATCATGCTCCTGTCCACTCCAAGCAACATATTAAGCCGCATCATCCTGGAGAGACTGAATAATGCTCTGCATTCACAATTGCGAACGGAATAAGTTGCTGGCTAGCTTCAGGAAGAATAAATCATGTAAGGATCAAATCGCAACTCTACGCATCATCATAGAACAAAGCATAGAATGGCAATCAACTCAACTAAACCTCAACTCCATCAACTTTGAAAAGGCATTCGATTCCGTTAACTGAATAGTAATATGGCAGCTGCTTCAACACTACGGGTTCAGAGACTTAGCGCTTTACGAAAAGCATTTTCAACAAACTACAAACATGTGTCAGCAGCTGCCGTCTACTCTTACTGGATACTGAAAATAAGATGGCCAGAAAGAATAAGCAACAAGGAACTGTGGTTAGCTGACAGGCAACGAACCAACCAAGAACCTATCGCCCGAAAAATATACAGACGAAGAAAGTGGAGATAGATTGGTCATACATCGAGAAAACCGGTTGGGGACATCACGCGTCAGGTCCTCAAGTGGAAGCCAAATTGGAGACGAGGAGTTGGGTGTTCGAGGTGAGGATGACGTAGAGGTGATCATGTGATGAAGAAATGAAAACTTGTGAGCAGTTGCGAAGCCATATTTAAAAGACTCCAGAGAAGAGAGTGGAATGGCGATGTGCTACTGAATCCCTATGTTCCACTAGGAACCCACTGGACACATAATAATAATGACAGATGAAAGTTCCTTGAGATTTGAAGATTGGTCGGGAAATAATACTATAAAATACGGTAAAGAAAGTTTACTATCTAAGCAAAATTTTATGGATGGTTTTGGTCAACCTTTTTGGTTGATTCATATAAAAATATTTCACGTTTTGATTGAGTTCCATCTTTCAGTTACTTTAATCAGGTTCTCAAAGCTAAACGTGATTGGCTATATCAAGTCAAGTTGTGTATACTTTTATCCGGTACGTATTTCATTGGGAGTCGACAAGTGAAACTATTTCTCTGTATGTCATTCATCTTTAAGCTGATTATTCGATTGGAATTACATTCAAACTAGTTTCTATCACAAATCGACACCACCTGGAATACTATTGGAAGATGGAAACCGGTACACAGTTATTTCATTCTAGTTTTGAACTCCTCAGCAATGCATACTAATGAACGCTGGAGGAATCGAACCTTAGGCGGAAGTAATGAGGAGAAAGTTACCAGTCACCCATCTGATTGACATCAAAGGTTCCATATTATTTAACTTTCTGAGGTAGTTTGATCATTTTACAATATCATGGGTGAGCTCACATCCTCATTTCCAACTTGCTTGACCTAATAGATCAAGCTATCTCAGTAGTACTTTAGAAAATCCATATTGAATCTGGCCACCAATGAACACTGACTCATTTGTCCAGGGCTCAGAGGCATCAAATACTTATCCTCCTGACTGTAATTCCTAATGAAACCATTTTGTGAAATCAGTCAGTCACCGTGAAAATCCCAAAATTGAGGTATAATTGTCACGTTATAGTAGTCTTCCTACCTGCTGGTGAGGAAAATCGAGCTGGTGGACGTCAGATGTTCATGTGGTAGCAGTTTGTGCAGCGGTATCAAACCAGATAGCGTAAAGTTTTGATTAGATGTATAGTTATAGATATCAACACCTTTTTTTAGTCCAATGTCCATCCAACAGTGAGAATGTCACTTAGCGTTTCAGTTTTTTCTTTCATTCTACTACTCTAAGAAACGTCTAGTAAAGCTGGAGAAAAAGGATGCAACAAATCTGAACCATAGTGTGTGATGTTGTTCCCACTGAGACCTTAAGGTAGTACTCATCACCTCAAAAACCCAGTGCTATCCACCTGTCCACTGGGGCATGAGAGCCACCTGTGATGCAACGAATATCAGTTGTTGCTTATAAATATTTGTCATTGCCCTTTCCTATGCTTGGTCGAATTGATCAACCTGTGTTGGCAGATAGGCTCCTGTACACATGCCGGAATACTGCCCATTTGTTCATTATATTATCATCTACTTGGTGGGCAAAATTTAAGCCCTTGAAGTCACGGTTTTTGACTTTGAGTTTCAGTGAGAATAACGTCACTCACTGGGGTCCAGGTATATCCAGCTGATGAGTTCCACATTGGGCAAAATGCTCGTCCTGGGCTCTACTGACGGCTATAAAGGGGACTATAATACAACGAAAATATGAACAGTATCGAGGCATACGCATAGGAGCTCATTTTCTCAATGGAGGCTGAGGAGTTCAACCCAGTATAGCAAGAGGAAATGTCAAGAGTCAGTAAAAATGCTACAAACTGTTGTTATACAGGGCCCAACTGCTCGAATTCTGCTGACATACGGACTCCTGTATGGATGCTTCGATAACGCCGAATATTCATGATGTTATATTGATCTTGGTGACGCACGTTTCGTCTTATATAAGACTCGTCAGCTAGATGTATCAGCACCCATTGACGTTGTTCCCACCCGAGGCAAGAACTCAAATAAGATGAAACGTTCGTCGTAGATTCCTCTGCTAGTCACGAAGATCAATATAATGCTACAAACTGTTTTATCATATTTTTACACACAGAACAGCTTAATTTTGAGGATTAACAACATCAAACCATAGGTTGAGATAACCCAAAAAAGGTAGCTGAATTTGGACTAAAGTGAAACAAAGCTAATAGTCTTCAGACTTGGAACTTTCCACCAACTTATAAAGTCTGTGACTGTTGATAGAGTCCTTTAAATGATGGGACTTATCAGTTGGAGAGACTTGGTGACACACTTAAGAAGCAATTACTTAAACAAGCAAATGTTTAAAAAACACTGGTAAAGTTTTTATGTCGTTGATGAGAAAACTAATACATAGTTTATAAAACCACTTTCATGCTTTAGCGAATACTGAAAACTTAGTAAACTCTAATGGAAAACAAAGCCACCAGTGAACACTCGCAGCACCACAAAACATTATTAACGCCAAGAAATGTGTAACATAGCCTCTGCTGCGATAATATCATACTTATTATTAGAATAAAAACATAGTCTATCAGGGACACCAAGAAATGCTGCACACAAAATAGTAAAACAACATTTTGAAGCCATAAATTGGAGGGAAATGGGTAAAAAGAAGAATACAATAAGCATAGAATGATTAGAAGGGGGGCAGTCCAGTAGGATATATTCAAAACAAAACATTCACTACTTTACAGCAGCACAAGACAGAAGGAAGCTACAGCGTGGCTGCCACTGGTTTTCGTTATCAGCTATCTCTGATAACATCTCAAGCCACTGAGTTGCCTGGCCTCTCGGACCCCACCAACGGAGTCGTGATGCACCAACAGATGCAAGCCCGATACAACTATCCTTCATCTCATAGCACCAAGTCATACACTGACTACTTCTCTGCTTCTTTCATCTAGTCCCTGGGCTAACAAACAATGAATGGCGTGGAAGCCGTTGCGACGACAGGAGTAACATATATCCAAGCCACTGAAGCTGGTGTTTCCAGATGAATTCACTTGTTGAATGACGACCTCCTTCATTCCCAAACACGTGTTGTTGTACCTCAGAATCATAAACACAGTGTTGCCACCGATATGAGAAATCCTACGGAGACAACGACGACTGAACATGCATATTCATCAGCTCGGAGAGGCCAAGTTTCACAGGCGTAGGACAAAACTGGTCACACCGAAGCGTTGTAAACCTAACCTTTTACGGTCAGACTAACGTCACCACAGTGCCAAAGATGGCCCATATTGGCGTATGCCACTCTAGTTTTCTATATGCGGTTCGAAATTTCATCATTTAGACAAATACCAAGATATCCGA